ATATCATGTCATCTATAGTGACTGAGGCAATAGAATTTATGCTTGAAAATGAGCACATCTTTTGGTGTTATGTGTGACTGTGTATGTGTGTGTGTGTGTGTGTGTGTGTGTGTCTGTGTCTGAGTGTCTGAGGATATTACTCAATCTTCTGACTGAGTAATGATGTGGAGTGGCATTGTAAGTGGCTGTTAAATACCCCAAGCAGTGGTGAGGAATTTGCATTATACCCACTCCACTATCCATATAAAGATTCAAAACAAAAATTGTTGAAGTTTTCAAAAGTTGATCAGTGAAATTTTTGAATAAAGCACTCATATTATTTTGGTGTGAGGACCATACTTAACCACAGTTTCATATAATAATCATATTTCTGTATATTTATATACTTATATATATTTGAAAGATTTGTTTTTTTATTAAATCTTTGAAGATCTGGAAAAGATTAATTTAGAACCAGTACATTGGTAGAATAAATTATATTTTTATGAAATAAAGTATTAAACTCTAAAGTCACTTAAAATAGAAACTCAGTTATAAATTACAAATTTTATAGTAAGAAAGTGGCAATTGCAATACCTCATGATTTTTTAAAATTTATACTTTAAATGCCTATTATTTTATTGCATGTTACTTGTGCTGGATAAATAATCCTATTTATTTTTTCTGTTATTTTTGAAATAAAAATGAAGTAACCAGAAAAATCATAAATAATTCGGTACTTAAAATGTCCTAAGGATAATTTACACCTTATATATTGTTATATGTGCTTATTTAACAATACATTGTATCTTGATTGTTCATTATTGTATTTATCATTACTTTTCTTGAAGAAAGTGGTATATCTGGTCTTACAATTTCATTTAATGACTTTTTAAAAAAATACTTCTGCAAGTGTGAAAACATTTATTTTTTTCTTGATAAAATGTGCTTGTTTATGGTAGTAATATCTTTTTCTACATTAACAGTTTCTCCCAGCAATGTCTATATTATTATCATTTTCACATTTTTATTGTTTTTAACTTGGATGACTATATATTGTTCTTTTTGAATAGGCTAATTTATTTTTAACTGACAGTCTTTATTTTTACCTCAGTAGAAATAATTTGTAGAAAAATGCTGTCATGCCCAAGGATAATTCATCAGTCTTCCTCCAAAATAATAAAATATTCCCATATATAAGCAATACTTCTTTACTTACTTACCATGCTTTCCATGTTATTTTGTGTCATGCATTCCTCCCCCACTCCCTGTGATGCTGAGGACTGAATCAAAGGGCTCCCGTAGACCCCAAGTGATCTGCCACTGAGCTACACCCTCTACCACGTCTTCAAATTCTCTTAATATTAGAAAAATGCTAAAATAATACAGAGTTTTCAAAAAGTTAATTTTGTGTTTTGGATATTGTGAAGAATATGAAAATTATAATTTTGAATTTGAGTCATATAATTAAATTGTTATACAAATATGTAATATGTTACATCAATTACTCTAACACCTCATTTTTACATGTTTTAGTATATTTTATATTGTATTTATTACTTTGATTATACAGTTAACCACCAGAAAATCTCTAGATATTGAAAATATTAATTTAACAAAATGCAATACTTCTGTTAAGCAGTTTGCCATATTACACACTATGAATATGGGGAAGGCACATCCTGCCACAAACATGAGACTGGATTTCTAGCTTTACTTTTTCCAAGCTCCCCACCCTCACCCCTGCTGCTGGTACTGGGGATTAAACCCAGAGCTTTTGCCCTGAGCTATCTCCCTAGCACCATTATTTAGTTTTTAACTTGAGCCAAGTTCTTACTAAATCACCAAATGGCCTAAACTGGGCCCAAATGTAAGATCCTGGTGCCCCAACTTTCCAGAGTGCTGGAGTATAGGTGTGTACCACCACACCCAGCTTTCAATTTTTTTTTTTAGTAAACCTATTACATTTACTTATGGTGTCTTTACAATAGAAACACGAAATGTCTTCTTTCTAAATATATATCAGGTTTTAATGTAGCATAGTTTTTTGATTTATGAATATGATTTTGAAACATCCCATTGTGGAAGTTGTTTTAATTTAAAATTCTTTTACTACTTCTAATATTCTTCTATTATATCTGTAGATCTCTGTATTGAGCCTGCTTTGATCTGGAGTTGTATCATGGGGATGGATGGATGATGGATGCATGGATGGATGGATAAAGTAGGTCATAGTAAAGAATGCCCACAAATCTATTCTTCCCTGGACTCTTGCAGTAATTTCTGTACTTTCATGGAAAATGGGGACCCTAAGTAAGTTGCGAAAGTGATGAAATAAATAGGAAGTTGCATCAGATACTTGAAAATTTAAAAAAAATTAAGAGCAGCCATATAGGAAAAATAATTGAAAATTGACAGCTTCTCTAGATGATTATAAATTTTTTTTCCTTAGAAATGACTAAAAGAAAGTACTAAAGTGTATTAGCCTTTTGGTTTTAGTTTTTTCTTATGAGTAAATTCAAAGGCCTTTTAAATTGTTTTCCTTATTATTGTGGCCTATTGTCAATTAGTTCTCATCTCAGTCTGTGTGTGTCTGTGTATGTTTTTAAGGCTGGTTATTAAGATAATGGCCGTGGTTAGGACAGTGTCAGTCAGTATACAGTAGTGGAGGGCCTAGCAGGCAACAGCCTCTCCAGATGCTTCCAGTTTAGAGTAGAGGCTACCAGTGATGCAGAGTAGTAGTATGTCAGTCTTAGAAAATGTCACATTAAAGATCTGAAATATTGTAAACATAGATGACAAAATATAAATAATTTATTAAAAATGGAACATAGATTATTGTATCTTTTTAAAAAGAAAATTGAATGATTCACCTACAGATGTAAAGTTATTTTATGTGACTGACTGTTGAGCAATCTGGTGAAGCTTATGGCCACCCGTTGTTTAGAACGCAGCCTTTTTGTATGAATGAAGTAAAATAAGTAGGGTTACGAAGGAAACTGCTTGCATTGCAGTTCAGACTACAAGTTGAGGATTCCAGGAAAACACAACATGTATGAAATCTTGCAAGTAGTTATCTGTGATTTCCTGGTTCTCCATTGCTGCTATTCAAAGTTATTTTTAAGTTCTTATCTTAAATTTAATGTACACTAAAAATGTAGGTGGAAGATCTCAATTTTAACGTCTTGATCATTGAAGAGCCTGCTGTGGGTCTGGATAATTCATGCAGTACTGCTTTAAATTTTCTTATCAGTAATCCCAAGTCTTAGAGAGAAGTTAATTATCAAGATAAGTGTCATTAATTGGTATTCTTCAAAAAATATGTTTTCAGAAATTTAAGAAATACATAGATTAGGGCTGGGGATTTAGCTTGGTGGTTCCACTGCCTCTCTCGCAAGCACAGGGTCCCAAGTTCAATCCCCAGTGCCAAAGAAACAAAAAAGAAAAGAAAAAAGAAATACATAGATTGGTAGGTAGATACCCCTTGGATTATTGTGAACATATACAGAGATATTACACTAAAAACATGTCACAAATTATTAGCATATTTATTTCTAAGAAAAGTATTCTCTCTAAAATAGCTTTGAAAAAATAGAATTGTGATTTTTATACTGAGGTTGGCTTTAAATTTCTTCCTTTAACCTGTAATTAAATATTTTATATGAATATATATTTAATCTTAGTTATTTTGACAGGTTCTGGATACACTTACCCAAAAATATTTAAGTTACCTTAGAATATCAGTCTCATTATATTATCCAGACTTAAATTATTTAAAAATTATTTGACCTATATATTTACCCTATAATTTTAAAATATAAAATAATCACAAGATATGATATAGAATAAATCTAGTACTCACTTTGTAAAGTCACCTAATGTCTATCGGTCTAGAATTATATGCCATATAATTCATGTCTTTTGGGAAATTGTGTCCTTTTTTTCTTATTTTTATTTTTCATTAATTGCGTGTAATTTTTCATTTTCAAAAATAAGATTGAAAGAATTCACATGTAAAGTGAAAGTCCTTGATGAGATTAATATTTGCTTTACTCATTGTAATTAAGCATTTCCATTTGTGGTTATAATGGGGGGGAGGTAAAACTTCATTTAAATTATACTTTTGAGTATAATTATTACTTGAGTTGTGAAACCAAAGGTATTGCTTTTAGAGTTGTCTTAAAAATTGTGGCATTGCTAGTAGAAAACATTTATTAATCACATTAGGTATAAAAACATTGTGCTAATCTCCAGGGATCCAAAAATCAATAATGATAGGTTACTTAAATTTAAGCATTGTTCCTTCAACAAGGATTAAATCTTAGTATTAGATTTGTCTATTCTTGAAGAGATTATATTGTTTTAGAATTATTATTCCAGTCAGGTAATGTGAATTCTGCATCGGCTGGCGTTGACAGTGGACTGAGATAGATGTGCCAGCTAACCAGTCCTCTGCAGAATGGGTTCTCTTTCGGAGCCAGGTTTAAATCTAGCTACGTGCTTTGCCCGGTTTCTTATAAGCTCACTTTGATGTTTCTCTTTGAATGTTCAGGTGTACCAGTGTATCATGATTGTGTTAAAAGCTTGTTTATATCTTAGTTACTTCTGATTAATACTGACTAATAACTTCAGAGACTTAAGAATGAATGCTTATATGGTTTTACTTCAGTCTTTTGAAAATACTAGAAAAAGTAATTTAATTGTTTTAAAATAGAATAAACAGTTCACGTATTTTGTTTAGGAAATTCATTTTCGAAAGCAAGCAGTTTGATGTTCACTGATTATAACTGAGCAATTCCTGTTGTCTTCAGTGGGAATCTGCATGGAAGGCAGAGTTTGGTTCCTTAGAAATTCTTAAGAAATTTAGTGAGACTTTGCTCAGAATATGTTGGGGAACTTTTTTTTTCTATGTACTCAAAAATCTTAAACAGTTACCTTTTCAAAGTCAGTTTAATGCATCATAACCAAATAGCAGAAGGGCACTAAAGGTCAACTGAGCTGCTTTGTGACTGACATTTCAGGGATTGTGAAGCAGCAGATAGACAGCCATATCACAGATCCAGAGCAACAGAACAGCGGCCTCTCCTTGAGCGGACCACCACCCGCTCCAGATCCACTGAGCGTCCTGACTCAAACCTCATGAGGTCGATGCCTTCATTAATGACGGGAAGATCTGCCCCTCCCTCACCTGCCTTATCGAGGTGAAAGAGAAATCAATCGGACTCACTTCCCCCTTCCCCCACCAGCAAACCATTTTATTTTCCCAACAGCTAAGTGGTCTCTTCTGTCATCTTTGGCTGATCACTAGTAACAGTCAATACTAACCTTTTCAATGTGGCACACTATTTATATTCAGTGAATATAATAGTGTGTGGTGATCATTGTAATATGTTTATTAACTGTCCTGACTGCATTTGTTTTCGTGATTTCTCATTAATCAGGAGTCCGGGGTAAATCCCCTCGTAATGACTGTATGGTGTTCTTCTCCTACACAATGAGAAATTGCTTGTGTCCATTAGACATCGCTTTTCTAATCATCATAATGACAGTAAACAAAACTCAATTCTTAGTTTCTTTCTATCCACACTAATAGTCATGTAGTACTAGTGTTTTCTTTGGCAGAATTTTGAAATATTCAGGGTTTTATTATAGTTTCATGGGATATCTTCTAACGAAGGGACATTTAATATAAGCCCGAGTAAAAAAACTGGATCAAGGAGGGAAGGTCAGTGTTATGAAGAATTTGAAGTCTAGTAGAAAGAAATGTAAACTATTAGCTTTTATTTAAGCTGCAGAATTCTCCTGTTGCTTTCATATGGATAGCATACTAATTTACATTCATAATTCCATGGATTTATTGTAGGGTTTTGTGTGCATGTACGTGTGTATGTATGCATATTACACAAAAATGTAAACATCTTTTTCTATTTAAATAATCATTCAAATATCCATATTTTGTCCTGTTTTCCTAACCTTTTAATCAGCAGCTAATCCTCTTTTAAAATTGCACTTGCACAGCTATCATATGAACCAAATATATGAGAAGTATTTCACTCATTGTACTGAGAAGGAGTATCGGTGTGTATCTTGCAGACCGCGCCCTTGCACCGGGTCTGTCCGGACGAGCCCATCAAGTACCCCCGTGGCAGGGCGAAGAGGCCGCCAGCTTCCGCAGCTTCCCCCCAAGGGGGCGCTGGAGAGAAGTAAGTGTCACTTTCTACTCCGTCACATAAGAATACACATGGAAGCTAACTTTAATCGAGGCTTTCTTACTACCTTTGTGCTAGTTATCTTCTTTTGTTATTATACGCCCTAGGTGCATTTCACAGTAAATTTATAAATATTATATATTTTTCAACTAACATTTATAATATTTGTAAGTAGACTATCTTTATTCTTCTTGCACATTTTTCAAATTTGAATAAATGCATTTAAAAAGTAAACTTAATAGTATTAAGCAGTTGGATGATATTGCTTTGCTGTAATTAAGTTTATGTAATTGCTGATAATTACATAAAGTTTATTAGTAACTAGCTAAATTAATTTTCACACACTGCAAAGGACTGGTTAGCTGATGCACAACAGTGGTGATCCTTCTCAAAACTGGGATGCAAGAAAAAGGTAATCATAAATATTGAAAGAAAGATGCATGTTGTACTGATGTTTTTAGTAATTTCAGTTTTTTTCATAAGAAGCAATATTTGTTGACACACACATAAACATACTTCTCCAACACTTTTAAATTCTCAGATAAAGGACCACTGTAAGCATGGATAACAGAATGTAATTTTTAACATCATTTAAAAAGTGAATTATATATTCATATAGATACATATGTTTAAATCACCACTTAGCTTTTCTTCAGTATACGATACGTTCTTTGCCTTTGGAAATTTCTGTTGTTTTAACCCCTGTGCTTTGGTTCCCTTTTTTTGTTTTGTTTTTATTTTGTTTTCCCTAGAAAATGGAGTCAAGGAGATAAAACCTTATGAAGGTCTGTACATAAAGGAGGGTTTGTTTTGTGCTGATAGCCTTTTGGGGCGCTATGTAAGCAAAAATAAACCCAACTGCAATTGATGTCCCTTCACTGTATGGCTTTATATAAAGTAAAATTATTTTGTTTTATGATTTCTTATAAAACACCTTTTAATTGGAAATAATAGCAAGGTAGGGCTGGGGATTTAGCTCAGTGTTACTGCACCTGCCTTGCAAGTGCAAGGTCCTGCGTTCAATCCCTGGTACAAAAAAAAAAAAAAAAGAAGGAAATAATAGCGAGTTAAATTTATTTTTTTAAGAATGCAAAGAATTTAACCTCTTTTAAATGAGTAGAAAATGTTTCCTTTTTAAAATATTTAATTTACCTTTTAAGAAGAATTCTAGATTTTGTGTAGGTCTTTAAATAAAGATATCAATTGCAGTCTCTGTTTATGTCATTGAGGTTGTACACATAGTCTAGTTATATTTATTATATCTTATGTTTATGATGATATTTAATTGCTAAATTTGTCTTTCTAACAAAAGAAGTTGTTGAATTAGTGATTTTGGATTGTATTTCCTGCATCATTTTTCATGAGCAAGCTGCTTATAGCATATCAAAGATAAATATGATATACTTTTATAGTTTTATCATCAAATACTACATTATGACTCAAGACAAGAATACTGAGTTGTGCTACGTGGGCTATTATACATTTACCAGAGCAATAAAAATAATCCTCTCTTAGAATTCTGAAATTGTTGGTTGTTTTATTTACTGCCAGATCTCCAGCACACATAATAATGCCTGGCACGTTGTAGGCCCTGAATAAATATTTATTGAATGAATGCATGATAAATTTATTTAAAAATTGAAAAATTATCTCAGAAAGTGTATCTTTCATTCTGCATATGCTACACTAAATTTCATGTTTATAAAAAATTTGTAAATACATTGCATTTGAGCAGCAACACTGATTGCTTTATGTAGCTTGATACGTGTTGCGTTCTTTTAGTTATGACTCAATGATTATTGACTACTATTTTGTGATTCTTTTTATTATGTTACATAATTTTGAACAAGCAGTACTACTGTAATTAATGGTGTATTATGCTGCCTGATAAAATTATTTCAGCAGTATTTCTATATTCTCAGTTATTTGCATAATAAGGATACAATTGTAAATTTCTACAAGAAACTTCACTAGTATTTATGGATTTTTTTGTTTTCTCAAAGTTTTTAAAGATATAAACATTCTTTATTGGCATATGAAGTTAGAAACATAGTTTATGTCACAATTGCTTAAAACTTCAGTTTTAATATATTTTATAGCAGTAGTCTATTGAGCTATCCACAACTTCATTCTGATATCTTACTAAATACGGGTATGCCCAAAAACCAGATATGTTGCTCACACTGAAAGGCAGGGTTGATAAAAGTGCTCAGGGGCTTGTCAACAAACATTCTAGTTACTATTTGATTTTTCCCTACAGAATGCATTAAAACCACTAATTTTCTTTAATGTCTCCAATTAGGGTTTTTCCATTTTTTTTTCATATAACAAAAGGGAGCCAAAACTTCCATTGTAATTTTGGTATGAAATGAAAAGGTTAATATTTGTTTTGTTTTACTTAACAGCATAAATGCTTTTTAAACAGTGTGTTCATAAATATTAATGTGGAGACTTCAATTGATACATAATTATGTAATTTTCTTGAGTTTTAAAAAGGATAATAAATCTCTTTTAGAAATTTTTAACTTCTAAGTAATTTTAAAGGTACAGTAACTCAAAATAGACCATCAGTTGACATTCTAACCCAAATCATATTTGGACTGTCTCCTAAAAAGTTAGTTGTCAAAACTTGTGCTTCAGTGGCATTACTTTAAAATCAGAGTACATATAGAAATGCAAATTTTCGAATTCTCTTTGGCAACTAAAAATGAGCAAGGTGTACTTTAAGTCTTTATTATTTTGGTTATTTTATATTATTTGTTAATTAAATTAGTTTAAAACCATATATATTTTAGTTTTGAGGGCGATATTATATTTTGTCATCTCTTTGCTGAAAACTAGAGAAATAGAGCAATATAAAAAGTATGATATATTCAACTACTCAAAAGCATTATCATTATTTTCCCTAAAGTGATATACTTCTATTTTGCAAAAATAAAAATTGATAATATCATTTTTGTTTCTCTAGCATCGAAGTTATATAACATTATTTTTCTAGCAACACACTCAGTTTGTAGATAGGGTATTTTGACTGCTTTACCTTGTTACCAACATATTGCAAATATTTTGAGGCCACAGTTTCTCTTTTTAGACCATTAACATCATAAAAGAAGACAGTGTGATAACTGATTAACAGTAAGCTTACTTGCTTTTCCATAATGTGTCTGAAACTCCTTTCAAATAATCCTTTGGTCTCCTTGTAATCACTCATTATATTATTATGAATATTTTGTTTTGTTTCATTTAAAAAGAATACTCCTATCTTGTCTATCTGGTCTTATTTTTTCTTTACTTTTACTTGTGCAAATACAGAGGTTTATGAAGAAACTGTGCATGTGGAAGAGGAAGGGGTAGAAAAGCGGGCGGAGGAGGTCAACACAGGTCTGTCTGTGTGTCTAAAATAAATTAATGGTTCCAAGTGTAAGTTCACATAAGATTTTGGGTTCCACATTCATAAATCTGCAATAAATACCAAATTGCATTTCAATACTAATTATAAATAATGATAATGATTTACTATCTAACTATATCACTATATGTGTATATAGATAATATATAATATATATATTAAATAAAATTAACTTTTTTTTTTTGGTACCGGGGATCGAACTCAGGTCCTTGTACTTGTGAGGCAGGCGACGGAACCACTGAGCTACATCCCTGGCCCAAATTTAATTATTTTTACTTGAAACTCAGAATTGAATCCTAATGTTTTCTAAGCTCTTAGCATTTAAAATTTTAACTTTTTGAACAATGCAGAGTACCTAAATCTATTTTTATCAAATCTTTAAGCCATCATCATTTTTTACTCATGAATAATAAAGTGTATGTGCCTTTTTCTTCTCCATGCCATTGTGAGAAAACAGTACAATACTGTATGTTGCTCATGCTTTGCATTTTCATGGATACACTCTCTAAGTAGAATTTGTAGCTGTACTACCAAAAGCATCTTGAGCTCCAGTTGCTACTTACCAGTAATTTTTAGTGTCACAAGATAAGAAAAATCATCAGAATGTATCTGATGATAGAAACAAAGGCAATTTTGCTTGCAGAGTTATGGAAACTTACAGCTGTCACATAAATACTAAAACCCTTCACACACTTCATTAAGTGACATCCACAGTGAAGTCATTTTAGAATAGTGTCATTTTGAGGACTTGAGTAAATATTACTTTAACTGAGCTTTACCAACATTAAGAAGTCCGTTTTGCTGAACTATTTTGTTACATGTGATTTCAAAATTAATTAGTAAATTGTACATGAAATTCGCATAAAAGCATAAGTTTAATGTAAAATGGCTCTAGTCTGCTGCACAAGCGCAAGGACCCGAGTTCGATCCCCAGTTCCAAAAAAAAAAAAAAATGGCTCTAGTCCTTGTGTTTGTCTTTATTACTTTTATATAAGGTAGGAAATGTATACTTTACTTTTGTGTTCATTAATGTGGGGTGTTGTGTTTAGTGCATGGATGGATTGATTTTTCTCATGTGTGATTTTATTCTTTTGGCGTGCTTTAGTTCTTTTTTGGGTTGTTACTGAATTGAATTATTAATCAGTGTTGTCTGTTTTTGATGTTATAAAGACGATGAGGGAGAAACACCAAGCCAACCTAATAATAGGAAAAAAGGCAAGTCTAAAATGAATTTAATAGTGCCTTTCTATATATTACACACTCTGTAGTGACATTTGTAACATACATGAATATACTTTTAAAAAATTAGAATAACTGAGCATAAGTAGTAGTCCCAGTTTATGTTGTCTGATGTTTAAAACATGTATTTCTATGCATTTATTTTTTATATGAACTTCACTTCCCAATGCTTACCTTATTGACCCTAATACAGTCCTTTTCGATTGGAATTGTATGGCATTGAAGCTGGAAGATTTGCTTTACCATGTTAAGTGGGAAGATTCTAGGAAAAACAGTAGTGGTCATGTTAATATGTATTTAGAAAAACACAACATAGATATTTTTCAATCCAGAAATTATATTCAAATTGAACTGTTTAAAAGCTAAATTAAACCTGCTATGGTGGTTTAGGCCTCTAATTCTAGTTCTCTGGAGAACTGCAGGAAGGATGCAAGTTCAAGCCCAGTCTCAGCCAGGTAGTGAGATCCTGTCTCAAAGTAAAAACTAAAAGGGCTAGAAATGTGGCTCAGTGTGAAGGCCCTAGGCTAGACCCTTATTACCTCAGGAGTCAATAAATAACTAAGTTGAACTAATTAAAAACATTTAAGGTAGACTTTTAAAGTAGAAAATGAAGCAATTATGGGTTAGTGAATAGAAATAATGATCGTGATAAAAATGAAACATTTATAGTACTGTATCTATGGATTTTTCAGTTTTTATACACATAAATGAATATATTGCCTCTACGAGTAAAAAGATGATAGATTTTGATACTTGAATTTGATTGGCCTATACTTATTAATGATTTAGTTCTGTAACCCATCAAAACTAAATTCTATGAAATTAGCATGTGTATGCTTGACAGTAATTGATAATCAAATATAGTTTTATGTATTGATCTGTAATGCCAGCATTTTAAAATGTTACGTCTTTTCTCTATCATAGGTTAGGATTGGGCCAAATAAAAATAGATACATTCGTGCTTCAGTAACTCAGTTGAAATGACCTTTGTATATAGCTCCTTGTCTTCATCTTTTGTAAATGGTGTCTCCATTGTTCCGTAAGAGTTCTAATTAGCATTAAAATAAATTTATAATTTTTCTTACTGCAGAATTTAATTATTCATTAATAAATATGCTAGGATATGATTAACAGGAT